CATACATCTTAATTGTTCACATACATTTGATGTTCAATTAACATGTCCTTGCAAGGAAAGCAAACTGCAGACATCAATCAACCTATATGAGTAAAATATTTATTGTATTAATTTACAGCTCACTGCTACAGTTATGCTCACTTTGCTAAGGACAATCTCTTCTTCTCCAAAGCTATTTTTTGTATCTCATCTTAAATATCTTCTCATAATTAGTTGTTAATTAGTCATTGATCTGTCAGTAATTGTTGAAACATTTTGTTGAATTTTCTGTTTGATATTCAGCTAAAAATTGAAATGTTGACACTCCTCCAATGGCGAAGAGGCTACAGCTCTCAGTACTCCTTCAGTTTGCCATTATCTTAGATTTACAACAAAGATGGTGATATTGTAAATAAGATACAGTCAGTGCTTAATTTGTAATGAAAGAGGTGTGGGGCTCAAGCAATTTTTTTACATTCGTAACTGATGCAGCAAGCCTAGAGGTGGCAGAGCTTAGCCCTAGCAAGCATTAAGCACTGGGTATATTGATTTTCTCTTTCTTTCCACAACTAATTCCACTGAGGGGAAATATATAAGGTGTTTTTATAAAGTAGGGGTCCTGGTTTAAAACGTTTGGTTGGTGGGCAAAATATATTCTAGGTATTTGAATTCTGAATAGCAGAAATGAAAGGGGGAACCTAAGGGCAGGGATTGTGCCTTTCAAATCCAAGGGCTTTTCCTGATGACCCCATCAGTTATACAAAATATCAGTGTATTGTCTCAGTTTTTGTTAATTGCTGCCGAATGGCCATGTGAAAGAGCCGCTGGTGAGCTGAACTGGCGAAAGTGGCAACGGGATCACTGAGGGCATGTGCACCCCATAGGCAGTGAGTTATAAGGGCCCATGGTGCCCATGCTCCATCAATATTTAGGAATGTGGGCCCGATTCCACCAATATTTGGGCTTACTGCACTTTGGGGGGCCCCGTGCTTCAGGAGGACTCAGGGTCCAGGGCGGTCTATGGGGTTAACAGGGGGCCTGACAATGGCAGCAACAAGCGACCCAGCCCCAGCCCGCCCCGCTGGCTCCCAGCATCGCTCGGGGGAGGGGGCGGAAGCCAGAAAGAGGCGGGGCGGGGGCTTGGGGGAAGTGGTGGAATGGGGGTGGGGAGGGGGCGGAGCAGGGGTGGGCTGGGGCTGGGTCACTTGCTGCTGATGGCACCAGACCCCCCAACTAAACCCCCAGGCTGTTTTGGACCCTGCATCCCCCGAAGCACAGGGCCTCCCAAAGCGTGGGGCCAGGGGTGGTTGCCCCAGTCCATCTTATAGACAGGGCAGCTCTGGGTCCAGGGCAGCCTGGGGGTCTAGTGGGGGGCCTGGCGCCGCCAGCAGCAAGCAACCCAGCCCCAGCTTCGCCCCCATTCATCCCCTTTCCCCAAGCCCCTGCCCCACCTCTTTCCGGCTTCCACAGCTTCCCCCGAGTGCTGCTGGGAACCGGCGGGGTAGGCTGGGGCCAGGTCGCTTGCTGCTGCCAGCACCAGGCCCCTTGCTAACCTTCCAAGCTGCCCTGGACCCCACGTCCCCCTGAAATGTGGGGCCCAAAAAGCACGGGGCCCGGGGCGGTTGCCCCGGTGCATCCTATGGACGGGATCGCTCTGCCTGGAACCCACGTCCCCCTGAAGTGCAGAGCCCCACAAAGCGTGGGGCCCTGGTCCGTCCTATGGATGGGATGGCTCTGCTTGGACCCGTTCTGGGCACCACCATAAATTATACAAACTTGACACCCATGCCTGCATGTCATCCCCACACCAGGCCTCCCACATGCTGAGACCTTGCCCACTCTGTAGCAACCTCCATGAAACCTGGAAAGAGGAGCATGGGTTGCAGGAGGGAGGAGCTTAGAAGTGGCACCAGCAAATAGGTCTGCCTGCAAAAGGCTGGGATGTTAAGCTAAAATTTAGAGCAACTCTGTAAATAGTTGTTTGAATAAAGAGCTTGATTTAATAAAAATGGCATCCTCCCATGTTTTTCAGCTCAAATAGAAAGAAACACTTCACACTTCAGACTCTCCAGTAAGCCTCGCACTACATGACTTCTTAAACTAGACTTTCCTTGCATTAGAGTCAAATTCACAGAGTAGTGGGAAAAGAGTGGGGGTGCTTGGCTGAGGAGTTGGAAAAGTGAAAACCTTGTCATATACACCTCCCTGATGCCCACCAGAACCATCCCTGCATTCTTTTATCTCCCCTTTCCCACAAAACTCTCTCCATCATAGGTGTCCCACTTTTCAGTAGGAAATTCTGGTTAATCTATCCCCAGGGATCTGCTGATGTTGTTAAAATATGCCATTTTGTACAAACTGGTGAATTCCAAAGGCAAATAATTGCTTCTCAGAAGAATTTTTATTGCCCATGAAATAGTGATAATTTCTATGGGCTTTTTCAAAAGGGATTTTTCCTATAGGCACAAACTCAAGAGGTTAGACCTCATCTCCGAATAGCAACCTTCATATAAAGTCTATGTCCTAACCAAAAACAAAACAGCACTCACTACTAAAAATATTTAAGGAATGGCACAAAACATGGTCTGAAAGAAAAATGAATTTGCTTCAACATTTTATCTGCAAGCATACAGGGATGACTCCTTCTTATCTCGTAAATCCCACTGACACAATGAAAACTTTCCATAAAAAAAAACAACACTAAATACCTTTTAGTGCTATGTTTTTATACTAATTGCTTTGTTTTCTTTGATTAAACATCAGATTGATTTGTTTAGTCTATAATAGGTGTAAAACTCATGTTCTAAATCTAAAGTGTTTGGAAAAGAACTTACTAGATGCTGCCATTCTTCTCAAGCTCTGACGAGTCCAGGTGCCACACAATAGATACTATGAGCACATTATAAAGGCTGAGAAATTATCTCTGTAGAAGATCAGAGGGGAATGTTTATATGCATGTGCTAAAGTACAGATGTGTAAATATTATGTTGGAAGCTTATATTTCAATATATTTAAGTGAAACAAAAGTGGCAAAGTCTGTGTAAGGAATAACTGTAGCTATATTACCCAACAGGGTTTTTTTTAATAGTTATTCATAGTATTCCAAATACTATTTACATTGTTTTCTGTGTACATTAATTTTTATTTACTAAGAAACAGTATGATACTCCAAAGCTGACTAGGAACTATTAACATTTATTTATCAGGATCCTATATACAACAGCTCTTAAGTTTAAGTCCATGAGATGCCTTCTGAAAAGACAGAATCCTGGCCTGTGCTTTAGCAAATAATTAAACTGAGGTGCAGGAAGAAAGCGGAGAGTCTTAGTTATACATAATATTGCCTCGACATCTCTCTACCCCACAACAGAGGCAGCATTCAAACATTCTTCTCACAGTATTATCTATATTTGTCCTGAGTGTCACGGTAGACTACTAAATGAAGACCTCTGCTTAATGTGCAGCTATGGTCAAAAAAGCTAACAAAACATTAGATGCACGGGAATGAGATGATGAACAATACAAAGAATATTATATCTTTACATAAATCAATGATGTGGCCTTAGCTGGAATACTGAGTGTAGTGCTGGGTCTCCTCATCTCTAAAAGACCATTGCAGACTTGGAATAGGTTCAAAGAAAAGTGACCAGAATGATCAAGGGCATGAAAAAGCTCTCTTAGGAAAAGAGATTAGAAAGACTGTGATTGTTTAACATAGAAAAGACATGAATAAAAGGGAATGTGATAAACACATACAATTATTAATGGTCTAGAGAAGGTAGTTTGGGAGCTTCTGTTCTCCCTGTTTCATAAGAATAAGGGGCCATTCAATAAAATTAAAAAATGGGAAAATTAAAACCAATAAAAGGAAATATTTTTCACATTATGTGTAATTCTCAAACTCATGGCCACAGGAAGTTGTTGAGGCCAAGAACTTATTAAGATTCAATAAGAGACTGGAGAATTATATGGATAATACGAATATCCAGAGTTATTGGTATAAATATTGATATTGGTTATTGGTATAAATAATGGTATAAATATTGTAAGGGACATTAAAACGTATGCTTTGGGGCTTAAACCAATCTCTAATTCAGTGGTGCACAAACTTTTCCAGTCATGCCCCCCTTTACCATTAACAGAATGTGTCCATGTCCCCGCGCCCCATTACTGAACAGCCAAGGCTTCCTCAGCAGCAGCAGAGGTTGGGCTGAAGGTGGAGCTGGGGTAGCAACTGGGGATGGAGGAGATATTGAGATTATATGAGAGTAAACTCAGATCTGACATTTCAGTGTGGACTAAAATGTGCTGCTTCTAATAGGGTGCAAGTTATTTGACCCCTTTTGGGTTCACAGCTAATTTATGACTAGAAATGTCTCCCTGTACCTCACTACCACTTAGAATTCTTCCCCCCTGCACGTTGATGAGCCACAATGCAAATTCGTTTTTGCTACCTTGTTTGTTTTTTAGGGATGATTTTCACAAGATTGTGCTGTGTTCCACAAAAAGAAAAAAATCCTCTTGAGGTTCTTCTTATGTCTTCTGTGTCATAATCAATACAATATATGTTTTCAAGCTTTTCCTCTGCAACCTGGAGGGCTATCACCTTGAAAATAAAGCTGAGATACTCCCGTAATACCCTAAATCCAGGAGTTAGGGCTTTAAATACCGAACCTTCTTTGACGGGCAATAAAATCACAAGAGTAAGCAACACTGCAAATGTGGTTTCTAGAGCTGCCCCGTGAGTCGTGACGCGCTGCTAGTTAGTGAGACACATGGCCACGGTGTTACAAACGGTGAGGGTGACCCCCCCCCCCATTCAGTACACCACTGCGGCCGCTGCCTGACCGGAGCTCAGGAGCGTGTGGGAGAAGCTTTGGGCACGCTGCGATAGGGCTGGAGCTCAGGGCCCAGGAATGCCCAGCCCCACCCACCTGTTGGCTCACCCCAACATGCGCAGGGCGCGCGCACCCACCTCTCCCGAATGCCCAGGGCTACTTCCTGCTAAGTCACCTGATCGCGCTCTCTGTCATGTGGCCGCCGGGCTCCTCCAATCAACGGCCCCGGAGCGCTCGGGCCGTCAATTCAAACAGTTAGACCACGACGGTTAGCAAGTGTCATCCTGCTGGGTGGTCGCTCCCCTCCCCCAGCACCCGCCATCTCCGGCCTGCGTTCGGAGCCGCGGCGAGCAGCATGGAGAGCCGGCTGGTGACAGCGGGGCCCTACCGCGCCACAAAGCTGGTTAGAGGGGATGGGGGCGGCGGGTCAGCACGCGGGGCGGGGGGAGAGTCTGTGGGGTGCCGGAGTGTGAGGTTAAAAGCGCTTCCTGGTGGGGAGGGGGACTGGAGCCCCTGAGGGGACGGGGGACGGGGCAAAGGCAGCAAGGGGCGATGGGGGTCGGGGGGTTGCTGGGGGGACTGGAGCCCCTGAGGGGACAGGTGACGGGGCAAAGGCAGCAAGGGGCGATGGGGGTCGGGGGGTTGCTGGGGGGACTGGAGCCCCTGAGGGGACGGGGCAAAGGCAGCAAGGGGCGATGGGGGTCGGGGGGTTGCTGGGGGGCTGGAGCCCCTGAGCCCCTGAGGGGACAGGTGACGGGGCAAAGGCAGCAAGGGGCGATGGGGGTCGGGGGGCTGCTGGGGGGACTGGAGCCCCTGAGGGGACGGGGCAAAGGCAGCAAGGGGCGATGGGGGTCGGGGGGTTGCTGGGGGGCTGGAGCCCCTGAGGGGACGGGGCAAAGGCAGCAAGGCGCGATGGGGGTCGGGGGGTTGCTGGGGGGACTGGAGCCCCTGAGGGGACGGGGCAAAGGCAGCAAGGCGCGATGGGGGTCGGGGGGTTGCTGGGGGGCTGGAGCCCCTGAGGGGACGGGGCAAAGGCAGCAAGGCGCGATGGGGGTCGGGGGGTTGCTGGGGGGACTGGAGCCCCTGAGGGGACGGGGCAAAGGCAGCAAGGGGCGATGGGGGTCGGGGGGTTGCTGGGGGGACTGGAGCCCCTGAGGGGACGGGGCAAAGGCAGCAAGGCGCGATGGGGGTCGGGGGGTTGGTGGGGGGACTGGAGCCCCTGAGGGGACGGGGCAAAGGCAGCAAGGCGCGATGGGGGTCAGGGGGTTGGTGGGGGGACTGGAGCCCCTGAGGGGACGGGGCAAAGGCAGCAAGGCGCGATGGGGGTCGGGGGGTTGCTGGGGGGACTGGAGCCCCTGAGGGGACGGGGCAAAGGCAGCAAGGCGCGATGGGGGTCGGGGGGTTGCTGGGGGGACTGGAGCCCCTGAGGGGACGGGGCAAAGGCAGCAAGGCGCGATGGGGGTCGGGGGGTTGCTGGAGCCCCTGAGGGGATGGGGCAAAGGCAGCAAGGCGCGATGGGGGTCGGGGGGTTGCTGGGGGGACTGGAGCCCCTGAGAGGACGGGTGACGGGGGAAAGGCAGCAAGGAGCAATGAGGGCTGGGGGCCTGGCTGGAAGGAATGGGGACCCGTGATCTAAATGCGCTCAACTTTTTGCTTTCATCTTGTCTTCTCCCCCCCCCCCCCCCCCGTTCCCTCTCCCTTGCAGTGGAATGAAGTTACTAAATACTTTCGAGCAGGGATGCCACTGCGGAAGCACAGGCAACGTTTCAGAAAATACGGGAATTGTTTTAGTGCCGTGGAAGCCGTGGACTGGCTCCAGGAACTGCTTAGGAGCAACAGGAATTTTGGTCCCGAAGTTACTAGGCAACAAACCGTTCAATTACTAAGAAAGTTTCTCAAGAATCATGTAATTGAGGACATAAAAGGAAGATGGGGATCAGAAAATCTAGATGACAACAACAACCTATTCAGGTGCTGTACGGGTGTACACAAATTGCTAAGCTGTGAAAACTAACCAAGAGTACTCTGTAACTGGATCAGCAGTTACTTTACTGTGGGGAAAGTAATTTTCAATCAAAAGCAATACTGATTCACCAAGAAGTCTGCTTTTCCTCTACTCCTTCATTAATAATGCTGTTATGGGCTGCAGCCCAGCATTTCTGTAGCACTAAGTGCAAGGGGCCTTTCCTGAACCCCACCCGGCCCCAGAGCTTGCAAGGTGGATAGCATGCATAAGCATTCCTACATTGTGCTGTCTCCCTCCCACGCCAGTGCCTTCTACAGCGTACATAAGGTATAATTGGAGCAGAATCTTCTCCAAGGACTTAACTTGAAAGTTGAACTTCCCCCTACTGACCTCCAATGAATTTGAGAGAAGGGAATGATAGTCCAAAGCTAATTTGGAATTTTGCCTAATTTAAATTAGGTATATGTTGTAGAGGTGTTCTGTGTTTTCTTCTTTTTATCTTAAGCCTCTAAAGAGTCTTATTGGAATCATCACTGGGCACTAAATTTTTTGATGAAACTAAGTTCTTATTTTTTAATATGTTCTGAATGTATTTACATTTCTCTTGTTAATTATAGATTCCCTTCAACCTCTCCAGTTAAAACTTTGTCAAGAAGGTCCCTGTTGAAAGAGGATACAGAAAATATTCCAAAAGAGGAAGAAAGGCTCTTTAAACTACCACATTTCTCCAGAAGGACTCCTAAAAAATATGAATTACTTGATACTCTGGTAATAACTTGTGCTTCTTATCGTTCATGTGTTCTTTTCAGCATTAGGAAAACAAATATAATCATCTCCTTTAGTGGCTGTATCATCTACTTCTGTAGAATCTTCATCTCCAGCTGAAAAAATAAACTAGCAGTTTCCTCTGGACTACTTTGAAGTACAACAGTATGAGAATGCGACAGAAAGACACAGCAGCCCTGGTAACAAAAAGCCTTTATGCTGTATGTGGCTGCTTAAAGCTTGGAATGCAACATGAACGGTAGATGTTCAAAATACTGTTTGTATGAAAACCATTTTAATTATAAACTTTTACGTGGACTTGCTGAAATCTGACAAATTGGAAATAGTGAAATTAAATATTTCTGGCTTTGAATTGTATGTAGTAGATTGAACTACACTGTACAGTAGAAACTGAAATCGATATATCCAACCTCTTCTCTTACCCACAACTTTAGATTAACAATAGACTGGTATTGGCTTATTCTTTTTTTTTTTTTCCCTCATTTAGTCACATAATAGCAGAACTAAAAAAGATCACTTAATGCTCTTCCTCATTCCCCCCCGAATATGTTTTATATATTTAAATATTTTATTCTTTTTTGTCAGATGATTAAGAATTTATGAGGAATCTTAGAAACTATACATTTTAGGAACACTAAATCAGGGTACATTACTTAGCTGTTAAATTGCTTAACTCTACAACCTTGAATGTAGCTGACCGGTCATTATTTGTTTTATACTTTTGCTAATTTTTTTTTGTGTTTCTGACTTTCTGAATTTAGGCCCCAGTCTCAGTCCTGCAAGCACTTATGCATGCATTCAGTATTTAGGGCCTTGGTCTCACATTTCATTCTGCATTTTGTTACTTTTTGCCTTTAAATTTCAAAATTATGGAAGTATGGTTGGGGTTTTTTTTCTGCAGTGGACGGCAAACATTTCTGTGGATGGAAAAGAGCTTTAGCCTTCTGTTTTAAGATGGGAGAAGACCCATTTAGTGTTAAGAGATCTTAAATTATAAAAAAGAAAATGAATGTGTTCTTTAATTTAGAATAGAGCCTTTTTACAAGTGTATGTGAGTAGGTTTTTGTTTTTAAATAACATTTTACTGGAATTTTGAGTTTGGCTTTTGAGCTACTTCAGAGAGTCAACAAAATATAACATGCATGATTGCTTATTTGTAGGAGAACATAGAAAACACAAAAAGTGAAATAATGGAAGAGGACAAGGAAAACTTACACAGGAAGAAAATAAGTCAAGAGGATATAGAAGAAATTTGGCGAAACATAATTTTGATACAGTAAGTCAATAACAAACTGGAAATGGTTGGGGAGGGCGTGTGTATATATCTTTTCCTGCCAGTACATATGGATTAGGCCATTTTAGCTTCAACATACCATCAGAGCAGAAGGTACATCCATGAGTATATGCTGTGTCAATAATCAATGATCTAAACAAGTGTTTAAATTTTTCAGAAAACTTTTTAATCCTGCAGAAGGAGTAGTTCTGCTAAGTTACACAAGTAACCCATGTACTTTCTAATATATTATCAAGGACCACAGTATTATATTTAGGAAAGTTGCTAAAGTAAATATTATAAGGAGTGAGAATTGCACGTTGAGTAGCTGATTTTCTCTTCCTCCTTTCCTTTGTGGTGTGTATCTGGCACACTTCCTCAAACACTGAATTTATGGCCTGCTTCTTGTTGTTGGCTCTTTCTATTGGTTCAGACAGACCTTTAGTCTGTGGCATAAAAACTTATCTCTGACACTTGGAAGCTTTGGTCTTGGACTAAGAACTTAGAGTTTAATAAGTTAAATTTTGAGGTTTTATTGCTTGTTGAAGAGGTACTAAAGTAATTAGCTTGGTTCACGTGCTATCAAGACTTCTGAAACAACATTTGTTCTCTTCCACCCTACAGCTTGCAAACCATTTTAGGTCTACCATCTTTGGAAGAAGTCTTGCACTCAGCACAAGTAATTCCTCAATATGTCATGTACAACATGACTAACACAAGTAAACATGGTGTTGTTGTTCTGCAAAACAAATCAGGTTTGGTTTTGGTTTTGACATTTGCTTCAAGTGCCAGTATTTAGTTATTGTCAAGTGGTGGATGACAGTAATTAACTATAGTAGTACTTAAAACAGATTTGCTTAGGGTGATAACTTCTGTAGTCTACTTTTCTTTCAAAATTAAAAAGTAGGGCAGGTGAGAATGTAATAAGTATAGTGATTCTATGTATTCTTTTAAAACTAATTAAATTCTATATATGATCTTCCTGTATTTAAAGTTTAACATCAGGTGGCTAGAGTATATAGTGGCAGTTGCTGAACAATTTTCTTAAATTTTTTTTTTGCAGAAGACCTCCCTCATTGGGTATTGTCAGCTATGAAGTGCCTTGCATACTGTAAGTTATACAAAAGTAGTCTTTAAAATTTCAGATATGAAGAAGCTTATTTTGAGGAGTGGAAATTCCAAAATGTTTGCTTATACGTGAGAGGTACTAAGCTCTTCTACACTGGATGCAAGTTCAACTATATCTAACAACCTGATGTATTCAGAAGATATAACAGTAGGCTGCATAAAACAATTGTGTACAGAGGTGACCTATAAGGAAGAAGAGGTAAAGATAATGAAGTTACATGTGCATTAAAGAGAAAAGAGATCCTATAAACCAATGTACTACTCCTAATCATTGAGTAGACTACCTAAATATCCTAGTACCAGGTTGCACTCTGTGGATCCATGCATGAATCTCTCCCTGCCCTTTCAGAAGGGGATGGTCAGCTGGGGATTTTAACTGAAGTGAGAGGAAGACGGCAACATTCCCCAACCAATTAGGGAATCTGCAGGAACATACAACTTAGAACTCAATTAATGTTATATGGAGCCCTGCTATGCTGGAGGACCTCACTATCTCTTCTCACTATAAGGAGGGGTCCAAGTGGTAGCTACAGACTGCTGAGTCACTGGAAGAAGCTATGCTGGCAGGAGCTGGGCAGAGATGAAACTTGAGTCTTCAGGCACAGTGCCTCTGTGGTTCCTTCTCAGATGTGGTATTCCAGGGACTAAACTACCTGCTTCTTGCACAGAATTGCTTGCTTCTCCCAGGCTGTGAAATAATTCAGAAAAAACTCTGAGCCAAACCTTGAAGAGTTTGCTAGTTTGGCCTAGCCCAGCCCATAATGTGATTATTTTTATTTTTTCTGAATAGGCATCAACAGTGCTCAAGATTTTTGGCATTCTTGATGTAAAATATTCCATAGTTTCCACTCTAAAGAACTATCTTTATTAGCCACTATCCATAACTGAAGGTGTGACAAACTTGCAGCACAGTCCTCTCCACTCTAGTTTTTATATAGAAAAGAGGGAATGAAATGAAGAAGTGGAATATTTTCAAGACATAGGTATATGTTCCTACATTGTAGAATCAGTATAGCAAAATTAAGCAAATTCTCTTGAGAAATGAATGGGTGTCACTTCTATCTATGTAATGATCTACACTGCATTTTTCAGGTTGTTGGCTTTGCCCTGGACTAAAATAGCCTTTTTAAAAATAATATAAAAATTAGCAAAGTTTATAAACTTTTAAAAAAAAATTTACACATGTGAAGTGGGCTAATAGAAATGACTTCACTTGGGATTTTGGGATGTCAGTCTTTCACTTACAGTAACTCCTCACTTAACAGTGTAGTTATGTTCCTGAAAAATGCAACTTTAAGTGAAACTATGTTAAACGAATTCAGTTTTCCCATAAGATTTAATGTAAATGCGAGTGGTTAGGTTCCAAGGAAATTTTTTGGGGCAGACAAAAGGCATTATATACTGTACTGTACTGTGGTTGAGAGGTGCTCCTGGCTTACCCCACACAGGCACAGCCCGCTACAGACAATGAGGTAGGAAAGGATGCTAGGAAGCGCCTTGCGCAGCATCAGCAGCAGCTTTCCCCCAGAAGAACAGGCACCGACTTTGCCAGGGGATGCTCCAGGCCCGCCTATTCCCAGCCCCTCTCCACCTCCTCCCCGGAGCACGCCGCATCCCCGCTCTTCCCTCTTCCTCCCAGCTCTTGCCTGCCGCCAAACAGCTGTTTGGCAGCTAGGGAGACGCTGAGAGGGAGGGAGAGGAGGCGGAGAAGAGGAACTTGTGCAATGCTCCCTTGCTGCTGCTCATCCACAGTCGCTGCTCATCCACAGAATCCTACAGTGGACAGAGCAGGCAGCCAAATGACATTATAAGGGAGCATTGCACAACTTTAAACGAGCATGTTCACTAATGGAGCAGCGACATAACTTTGAAACAACGTTAAGCGGGAGGACGTTAAGTGAGGAGTTACTGTAAAAAACAAAAAAAACACACAGTTTATAAATGCTGTTGAACAAATATGTATGACTATGTTGAAAGTCTTGTATCCAATTGAATTCTTCATCAGTTGTACAGAATCTGATGTGTAACTTTTTTTTTTTTTTTTTTTTTGGAGAGAGTTTGGAGAGGTAGGGAAAACATGAATTTGACCTCATCGAGTTTCCTGCAGAGCAGTTCTCCTCAAAGAAGCAGTTTGGGGCATGCAAAATTTAGAAATGTCATGTCTTCCAACTCACCATTTCACATGTACTGTACAGTAACTCCTCAGTTAAAGTTGTCCTGGTTAATGTTGTTTCATTGTTATGTTGCTGATCAGTTAGGGAACATGCTCATTTAAAGTTGTGCGATGCTCGACTGTTATGTTGTTTGGCTACCTGCTTTCTCCACAGCTGGGAGCCGCCCTAAGCGGACCCCCCTCCCCCCCAACAGCGCCGTCCGCCCACCGGCAGACCTCATGGATCGGTCCCTTCCCCCTCCTCCCCCTGCCTCCTGCCCGCGGCAGTCAGCTGGCTTGTGGGGTTTAGGAGGGAGGGGGGGAGGAGTAAGGACTCGGTGCGCAGGCTTCCCCTGCCTCCTGAACACAGCTGATTGCCCTGGGCAGGAGGTAGGGTGGGGAGGGAGGGGGAGCCTGCGCGCCGAGTCCGCATTCCTTCCTCCTGAACACCGCAAGCCAGCTGATTGCCCCAGGCAGGGGGGATGGGGGAAGACTCGGCGCGCCTCCCCCGTCCCTCTCCTGCCTGCGGCAATCAGATGGCTTGCCACATTCAGAAGGGAGGGGGGAGGAGTGAGGACACAGCATGCAAAGTAAAGGGGGAGGGGGCTTGAGGGAAGGGGGGGGGCTTGGGGGCAGGGGTGGAGTGGGCGGGCTGAGGGTTGAGTGATGACGATCCTGACAGGGAATGCTGCTCCAAAGTGATTAGGGAAGTTGGTCATCTAATGACTTGCTATAAATAAATTTACCGGGGGTGGGGGGGGGAAGGAAAGCAAAACAACAATCTCTCAATGTGTTTTTTTTAGTTCAGTAAGTTCAGCAAGAGGAGCAGCCGGACAATCCACCCTCTTCCAATCTCTGACTCCACCACCTCAACCAAGCTTCATACTCAGCAATGATGACTGTAGTATTAAATTGCTTGTTTAAAATAGTTTAAAATGTATATAATGCCTTTTGTCTGACAAAATAAAATTTGTCTGGAACCTAACCCCCCCCCCCTTTACATTAATTCTTATGGAGAAATTGGATTCGCTTAACATTGTTTCACTTAAAGTCACATTTTTCAGGAACATAACTACAACGTTAAGTGAGGAGTTACTGTATCTGCATTGGTGCCTGTGCCACTGTGTGGCTTTTTTGCGGCCTCTCTCCCCACAACCTCCAGCAAAGCTCAATAAGAAGCTATGATGGCTGTGTCATTGCATGCATATATGTCTCTCTAACTGTTCGGTAGCAGCTGCAGAAGGGGCTCATATGCAGCTAATAGAGCCTGGAGTTAAGTTTGCACTGGGTGATTCATAGAAAGTGACATTCCCCCATTTCATGCACAGCCCCTAAAAAGCCAGAGTCCATTTGTGAAGAAAACTAAAGGAAAATGGGGACAGGGCAGAGGCTGTTGCTTTGCTTCATCCTAGCCCATCTTTCTGTGGGAGTATGGTGGAGACCCATCTGCAGGGAAACTCTGGTTCAGTTTATTCTCTCCTTGTTTTCACCCATGCCCATAAATTGGTTAATTATATGGTTCATTACACACTTTTGAAGATGCTGTAGTGGGTGAAGAGCAAACCTAAAGTGAGCAGTTGTGATCATCTAGGGGGGATACAGGTGAACAAAGTTTGCTGTTATTGCACCAGTTATGTAAGCTTTCAGTAGTGTGTGCTCACTTAAAATAAAAAAGCACACCTATCTCCCAGATGGAAAAAAGAAACGAAACTTCAGCAGCTTTATTAGTGAATTGAGCCCTAAGCGTCTTGAATATGGAAAAAATCTTAAATCTATTCAGAGTATCTGAAAATAAACTCCTAGGTGCCTGTAACTTTTGTTTTATTGCTTATCTCTATGTAATCTGTTTGATTTGAGGGTGGGGCTGTTGTAGTAATTTTAACAGAAAAACTAAGATTAATTGCTTCTTTTGACTCCTTTTTTAGGAGTGGGTGAGAAGCAGAAAGGGTTGAAGTAGTCAAATAAGGGACTTCCTCTAATTTATTAATATTGAAGTATCTATCTTCTAAAGTTGAGCGACAGCTTCTTGCTCATCTGTTGCTATATAAACAGTTTTATTCTGTTTCTGCGTACTAGTTACACAAGGCTGAACTATTGGTCCAATGTTTGTATAAGTAGATGGCTGACATGACACTCCTTGAGAAATACTAGGCCATCCCTACCATTCTTTCTGCTAATGTTGCAGAAGTTTTTTGTTGTGTGGTGTTTTTATTTATTTATTTATTTTAAATATGTGATTATGAGAATAGTACTGTCATGAGCCTTCTTTCCTCGCCTTCTTTTTAGGGCCTAGAAGTAATGACATGAGCCAACCAACTTACGTTGGTTTTGAACGGGATGTGTTCAGAACAGTTGCTGATTACTTTCTCAATCTACCTGAACCATTGCTTACTTTTGAATACTATGAACTGTTTGTGAACATTCTTGGTATGTATGACTTGAGAAATAATGTATTTTGTTAAGTGTTAAGTACAAATTTGAGTCTAGTGGGTTACATATATGTAACTGTGTGCAGAATTTGGCCCCCAATCTGTATGGCAGTATGAATTTGTGGGAGGCCACCAGTGCAGTAGTAGCTCTACATTATAATCTGAGTGAAAATAGAATTACATTCTTGTGACAATAAATCCATATAAATTATCTGGTCTGATACTGTCAAAGTATAATAACCACAGTCTCAAATAGTGTAAACTAATCCTTGTCTTGTTTCTAAAAGCTAAATGTAAAGTTTTATTGTCCTTAATCCTGCATGTATGGGCTGTTTGTTGCATGTCTTGTAGTTAAAAAAAAAGCATTAAACAACTAACCATGTGGACTATATTAATGTCTTATATTTGTTAACTGTTCTGTTTTACTTAGCTACTTCAGTTCGTTCTTATCTTGTTCACTTTCACACCGCTTGCATCTTAACTTGTATTTCATTTTCTGATAGTTGTGTGTGGCTACATCACAATTCCATATAGACCCAGTGGAAAATACTGTATCCAAGATGAGGCGTGTGACCCACAGCCTTCAAAAACTCTGCACTTGAACTCTTTCAAGTCAACTGAATGTCTTCTACTAAGTTTACTTCGAAAAGAGACTGAAAAACAAGAGGAAGAATCTGAGCCTTCTGGAAATATTTCCCAAAATGAACATACTCTTCAAAAAGGATGTGCTAAAAAATTACAGCACTACAACTTTGCGTGTAAACAAGCCAGTGCTCATGACTTAAGAGGAGAAAGCTGTCAAAATCTGTCAGGTTTAAAGAATGAACAGGCCCAGCCTCTCAAACTTAGGGCAAGGTGCTATTCTTTGGAACGAATTGCAGCTACTACCTCAAGTTTTTGTAGTGAAGTGGGATCAAACTCCCTCTATCAATCTGACATTAACATAAAGTCAGGCAAAAATAAGGAAAACCCACTACTACACTCTGGGTACAAAGCAGAATCGCTGTTGAATATTGGATCAAATAGCACTGGGCAGAAACAACCGTGTGGTTCCAGGAGAGTGTCTGCGTCAACAGTTCACGATCAAGAGCTATGTAATGGGAATCACAAATCTAAGCAACTCTGCAGGTCTCAGAGTTTACTTGGAAGCAGTAAGTCCAGAAATTGCAGTGGCATCAATACACCTGTTGCTGAAATCACAGTAAAACCATATCCAATAGTTCATCTTGGACAAAGGAAATCAAGTACTACCAGTGTGATTACTATAGTAGAAAATGAGCCTATGGATTCTGATATCACAGTCAATAAACGACTCTGCAAAAGTGTAGTAGAACTTTCAGAAAACTCTTTCATTCCAGCTTCCTTTATATTGACTGGCACGCAAAGTAAGATTGCTCTTCAAAGCATGTGGTATTGGCTTACTGTGTTGACTAACTGTCTCTGCTTTCCTACTTTCTTTAGCTCCATTGTTGGATTTTTAAATAGCAAAATCTGTTTTTCATGGTTTGTTTAAAGAATATTCTAATGGCTATGAAGTTAAGTAACTTAACTAATTATCTTAAATACAAGCTTTTGTTATCTTCCATAATACATGCTCTTGGGTAGTATCCTCTCTTCTCCAAATAGTGATGTCTAAGCAGTTCACCATATTTTGCTCTTTGTTCAAAGTAAGTACTATTCCTTGTGATACAAACATCTGAAAGGAATCAGCATAGACTTCCCTGCTTCTAAGTGATGTCTCTTCACAGTTGTTGAAACTGGATGCTGAATGAAGTTTATAGGAGTCTTTAGAAGCCTGGAAATTGGCTAACCAATATATAATATAATAACAGAAAATACTCGACACTGATGTGCAGAAATAGCTTCAGTTATATTCCTTATCTGGTCTTGACCTGAGCCAATAATGTGTCAGAACAAAATGAGATAAATTGGGGGTGAAGACCATGCAAAAAATGTTGAAATAACTTTGATCCCTTTAAAGCACAGTCTTCTCTAACATAAAAAGTGGCTGCTGTCTTAACTGAATAAAATGAAATTGCTGATATTGATGTACCACTATCCTTCATATTGTTTCAAAACTTAATTACACCTGTTTTTATAATTATTAACTTCTAGATCTTCTCCGGCCTCATTTAGAAAGGGTTGCCATTGAAGCACTACAGATATGCTGTTTGTTGCTTCCTCCACCAAATCGTAGAAAGCTTCAACTCCTAATGCGTATGATCTCTCGAATCAGCCAAAATGTTGATATGCCTCGACTTCATGATGCAATGGGCACAAGGTCTCTGGTAAGACATCTTCTTCTAAGAGTATGGATAGCTTTATTCAATAGCATAAAAATAATGCTTAAATCTGAGAAAAGCAAGAATATTCAATGTTAAAGGAGGAACTTAGTCTTTGTCTCACTACATCTAGTATGTAACACAGATATGTCACCCCGGTATACTTGTGAAAATCTGTATCAAAGTGAACTCTCTTGTTTAACTCCATCTGAACATATTCAAAATAGGTTTTTGGGAAAACGCTTTATTTGAACAGCCTTTATTAACTTTCTAAAAGAACAGAAAAGATTCAGTATCCTTTTTGCTTCAGTGTTGTCCCGTTCCTTCTACACCTCACTGTCAATAACTAAATTGATATTATGAATTAAATTCCTACAAAACCTTGTAAGTATTTTTTAACTGACTCTCTGTTTTAACTGATATGAACACAAAACTTATTTTGCTTTCCTGTATCTTAAAAGGTCTAATGGCTACGTTTTGAAAAATAGTTTTTGGCTAAAACTCTTGCTGAGTGTCTACTTGAGGTAGTTTATTTTTGTTTTGTCCAGTATGGAGTGAATTTCCAGAGCTGAGTGTTAGCATAGCCTTTTTATTATATAAATATTGTGTCAGGACTCTAGCTATTGTACACCGATGCCACTAGATCTTAAAATTAAAGAATGGACCTAACTGTAGGGTTTACATTTTGAACTCTAGTAGGTCCGATGTCAGAAAGGAAACAGAAGTGAGTCTGTGGAAAGGCTTAAAGAATAGCTGTAAGGACTGAGTTTAAGCTTGCAGTGGAAAGAATAGAGGTATTTACAGTTGTTAGAATGACATCAAACCTGTAGGTTCTCTTACCTTAGTACCTACAGTTATTTTAAAACACATTAAACAAATACTGATTCAAGAATGTTAATTAAAAATGGGAAACAAGAAATGAGTAACTACTTGTCAGTTATTGCAAGTGATGTAACAGAGGTTCTGACCATTTATGCCATCTTGAAATCTCATAATGCTTCTTTTTTGTGCAAGAGACAAGGGTGTTAGCCAGTGAGCCCTAGACTATTAAAGTTTTCGTACATAAACTGGAAGGATGGTGAAGAAATTAGTATAGTTTTGATTGAAGTATGGAGCTAGAAGCTAGGCAGATCTGAGTTGTATTCCCAAATCAGTGTATACAGCCCTTACTACAGTGGGGCCTTTATCAGTGATTGGGGCCTCTAGATCCTGCCACAACACAGTCTGTAATTATTCTGGGGAGTTCATAAATATTATTAATAAAGTGATTTGAGATCTGCAAATGGAAGACCGTGTATAAGTGCAAATTATGTGTTGAGTTTTTGATTGGCTTTTTTTTTTTTTTTAAGGAGAGCACTTCCCCTAACTTCAACTGAATATTGTTCACTTCTTACCTAAACTATTGCTGTATTGCTGCAAAATGTTCAGAAACTGCCATGTTTCATCCCAAAAATGACTGTTTCATAGACAAACCTATTCCTATTGCATTTTGTAAAGCACTTGGGATCCACTAATACATTTGGGTGAAATGTGCCAAATAAATACTAGTTCATTATTCATTTAGAGCTGTTGGCTTCCCTCTGCTACCTTAAGCAGAGGGGAGCTAAATTTGGAAGAACCTAGTGGGCAGGTGAGGAATAGAAATATCAACTCTGTGGCATGTTAGCTTCTAGATCAGTGGTTCTCAACCTGATAAACATTGTGGGCCACATATGCAGCTCTCTATATATTATGTGGGCCGCATCCACACAATATATATACTATCTGTGTGGCCCTGGGGATGTTACATGGGCCACAGCTGTGTTGATTGGGCCAGGGGTTGAGAACCACTGCTCTAGATTCTGCAAGCATTAACTCCCTCTGAGTCTCCTCTTCTGCTGTTACTGTGCAAAACCGGGAGAAGTTTCCATGGGGAAAAGTAACCCAGATAGCTATTTCAAGATGTGTGGCTTTTCCTACATAGTGGAGAATGTGATGCAGTTTTCTTGGACTCTTCTTCCTGGTTAAATCTTTTTTAAATTGAAACTAAAAACTAAGCTCTGGTTAATCATAAGAACAGAGCATAATTCTAATTTTATACAAAAATCACTATGTTTCAAATGGGGGGAAATGGCAGATTTCCTCCTTGCTCTATCAATGTATGTCAATAGTGCAGGAAGGTGAGGTACTTTGATGCAAATCTGTAGCAGGGAGTGCAGTACGGAGCTGCAGGGAGAGAGAAAAGAATCCAAATGCTATAGTTGTACATACTAACAACCTGTTAAATACTTGTAGATGATAGAGACTTTTTCTCGATGTGTGTTATGCTGTGCGGAAGAAGTGGACCTTGATGAGCTACTTGCCACAAGATTAGTTTCATTTCTAATGGATCATCAGCAGGACATTTTTCAAGTTCCAGCTTACCTACAGGTTGCAGTGCAAGATCATATAGAATCTCTAAAGAACGCTCAGGTGGGTCCTGTGACAAAAAGTTGAAACCCCTTTGCTAATCGCTGTTTATGAATTGTAGGGTATTAAACTACTACTGTTAGTTTAAAAAACAAAACTATATTCCATTCCCTTTTTTTTTTTAAAGTACAAACTTTCATGCAACTAGCTTTACAATTATAGATAGGTTTTTCACTTTTTTTAGCAATTTAACTTATTAAAACTTGCATTTAATTTACAATGTAATTGAATGAGTGAGGCAATAACTTTGCAACCAAGCAAGATCCTTCAAGCATGTGTAGACTCTTTTGTTGCCATTCTTGTTTCAGTTCCAACATCCAGGGGAAGACATCAGTGCTATTTTGCCAACTTATTCATATTGTAAGCGGATAACTCCTCAGGAGTTTGATGAACAAAAAGTTTCTACCTCTCAAGCTGCAGTTGCAGAACTCTTGGAGAACATTATCCGGGACAAAAGCTTGTCTCTGAGAGACAAAAAGAAAAAGCTAAAACGGGTAAGAAAAGAAATGGGCTATTTTTTTTTTTTTTGGTGGGACTTTGGTTTTGGGTTTGTTTTTTTTTTAGAACACTCAGTTGCAGCATGCAAATTGGTTTTAAAACATGCATAGAGGTGGAGGAGAGAATTAGTTACCTAATTACTAGATCCTAGCACATCAGCAAACTCTTTAAAAATGAATTCTAGTCTGATAGCAAAAAGAATTGGGTACAGCCATCTGGATGAGTGCTTGTTGTGATGGCAAGTTCTGATCCTGTTTTGAAGGGAGCTTGGTCTCCACTACAAGAATTCATGTTGATTAGCAACAATGTTTTTCAAACTAAGCACAATTTAAGAGTAAAACACAAATCATTTTTTTTTCAAAGCCCTCTGCTTTAAATACCAACTCTGCGGTAGAAATTAGTTATTTCTTGTGATATACTAAATGCACCAGATTTCTTGTTTCATTTTTGTGCCAGGATCTTCACTAGGTAAAACTCTGATGTGAAGGGCACAAAAATAAAAATAGTAGTTTTGGTTAAAATTTTAAGACCAGACTATTCGGAATGAGAAGCCCTCTTATGACCAAATAACTGGTACTTTCTAACATACTCATAGAATTCTGAATAACTTACATATTGCTTCAGGTTATCTGATATTTCTAAATTCTACTAATCTGCTGCCCAGCAGTCAAACTAAAAGCTCAACAACTTTGGCAGGACTTAATGCTGGAGGATTTTTTTTCTCTTGCAGAAACCCTTTGGCAAATATCTCTGATCAGTGAATAGTGTACTTGTCCCAGAATTTACTAAGCACATCTTGTGACTCAAACACAGCTCCACAAAAGCTGCTTTTAAATCTTCAAGTTGCCCCCTTCTCCCTCTTCCACTCCCCCTCCTCCAGCCTCCACAAAAATAATGATTTTTTAGGACTTGAAATGTTTCTTAAACTTGGTCACAAACCAAAAGGCTGGCCCTCCATTTTTTTTTTAATTAATTGAAACTGGTTGTATGAAATAAATAGTAGCAGCATTGGTAGATTAAATCTTTTGACTACCCCCAAATTTCTGTGTGGAAACGGGAGGGAATTCCCCATGTACCCCTTGCCTTTCATCCCTGCAAGGGTCAGGCTACAGCCTCTGCAGAGTAGGGAGTGTAGAGAGACCTCTAGCTGTAGCCCTTTGATCTTGGGGCTCACTGCATTTGCTCTAAACTGGCCCTGTATGCATATGTATTTTTGGACAAAAATGCTCAGGTGTTGTGATATTGAAATGCACAAGTTTGCCTCAGTAGCTCAAGCTGAGGCCTAGGTCTAGCAGAAAGCCAGACAGATAAAAGTACAATGCTCATCTGCACAGCCACAACACACTGTAATTTCTAAATAAAATTACTGTGCTGGAATAGTTGGTGAATTGTTGTTCCTTCATTATACCTGAACGCAACCAGAAAAGTGCATATTGCTTCTCTAGCATTTTTTGGCACTCTGCAGTGCGTCCAGTGACTTTTTGTTTGAAACTGATGGGGGGGGCAAATATTGTTTGGAAGTGGTACACCAAAAACTCAATGAGCACATGCACCACAGTCTGGGAACTTCTCATATAAAGTCAATTAATTTGTAAGACTGCGTGAGGCCATGAGAATATGTAAGAATTAGTAGTCTTACTCTCAGCGATTGAGGCAGACACTACATACTTTCCTGAAACGATAACCCTGTGGAGCATGTTGCTTTTTTTGTGGGTTTTTTTTTTTTAAATCTATATGCTCTTTCCTTTAGGAGTAGGTCCAATTATTTCTCCCACCCACCCCAAGCCTATAAACTGTGCTGTCATTTTGAAAAAGCTGACTTCATCAGCAGAAAGTTTTTGGTCTGTTGAAATAAGTTCATATACCACTTATCCTCTTCCCGACCACTGCACCAAAAAATTGAAGAGATAATAGGAAAGCAGCTTGGTTTCAGAAACCCATTTTTTTATGTGATATTCCATATCTACAGATATGGAAAACAGGATGAGTAGGAAGCTTTCCTAGTACCATCAATATTTTCATAATCTAAACTTTAATGCAAAAAACTATATTTCTGTTGTTATGGTCATAAAAGATTCCAAATGAGAACAGAGTGTCTGCCAGTGCAAGACTGTCTTCCTTTGTCTGCAGATAGATGGCTCCAGTTTTGCTATGCTGCAGAAGGGTGAAAGCTGATTGGAATGTTCAGAACTTTGTGGATGGTGCAAACTGATAAGCCTCATGTCTATGTCACTGCTGTTTGACAAAGTCAGGAGCAACAGCAGAGAATAATATTTAAAATGGAGAGATGAGTGTAGTTCTGCATGAGGGTAACTGGCATTGGCTGAGTACAGGATAGAGGAGTGCTTGCACATACCTCCATCTCAAACACAGTAGCCAGGAGACCATGGAGTGGGCGTGGGAAAGAGAGAGAATGTACTTCTTTTTCGTGAGAGAGAGAGAGAGAGAGAGAGAGACTTCAAAGTTATCAGAGTCGGATCTGAAAGATAAAACCCATGAACAGGGTTCAAACATGCCATCCTGGTAGGTATTCTAGCACCTCTTTCCCAGCAGCTGTTGGAGAATTAGCCGTAGAGAGGAACTAAAGAGTTAAGCCATGCTATATTATAGAAAAGAAAATGTAGAGTAAAGCATTGAAGGGAAGTAAGGCCTGACAAAAATACAAAATAGGGAGTACTATACACTTTTTTTAAACAATGCATTAAATAGAAATGGGATAATGTTACAGTTTAATGCAGTACAAAATGGTTATTTTCCTGTAGGGCAGGAGCCAGGGGTTTGGTAGGATATCACAGCAAAGCTATTTTTCATCCTGCCTAGCAGGCTTACTCCCCAGACTGATAGTTGTCTAATCAGGTTCAGTTATATTCTTTTAAGTAGTCTTTTTTATAATTACTTTTTTGTTTTTTTAGTTTCAGAAGGAATATCCACTGATCTACCAGAACAGATTTCCAACTACAGAAAGTGAAGCAATATTATTTGAAAACAAACCAACAATTAAGCAACCAATGCTTAGCCTGAAAAAACCAAAGTTTCGTAGCCTAAGATACTAATTCAACTATACCTCTTGAATTTATTTATCTGGTTGGTATATGCATAGTCTAGTGAAGGAAACTTACTATGAAAATCTGATATTTACTTTGTGGAGGGGGAGAGAGATGTGCACATGCACACTTTTTATGTTAAAAGGTGCCAAAGTATCTTTGTTCTGGAGATCATTTTTCACTTATCAAATCTTGAAATGAGATAAATATTTAATGTTTACAAGTTACCCAACACATGCAAACAAATACTGAGTTGTATGTGTTGAACCTCAGAAGTAAAAAGAAATGTGAAAAGAAACATGAAGTTATTAGTAACCAAAAAATGTCTGTGTGATATTACTAGAGTCTGGGAAACTAATAGTATGCATATTGTTGTAACTTTTGTGTTAAATCTGTTTTGAAAATGATGCTATTTAAATTGTAGTTTTGGTTTTTAATAATTTCTTGTGTACTGTATAAATGCTCTGGTTGGCTACTCCGTATAGTGTGTACTTGCAAAAAAAGATTACCTTTTTGGATTGAAAAAGGTGACATCCGGGCCTCACTGGCTTCAGTAGGGCTAGAAATTCACCCTAGGTTACGGATTAATCTGTTTATCCAACTTCAAACTCATATATACTTTTCATTTTGCACTCATTTGTAAATCATTAAAATCATTTTAACTTTTTAATATATTTATACATGTTAAAACTATTATACTTGGTTTTATATATATTTCTAATTTTTGATGGAAAGCTGGTCTCAAATACATGGATAACTGACCTGAAACACTGCTTGAACAAAATAAGGAAGAGGGGAGGATGATATATACCTACACTGAACCAAATTGGCATATAGGTATTGTATATTAGGCCTCAGTGTTTTATTTATAACACTGCTGAGCTGGCTTTTACAAGACTTTTGGAAAATGTCTGTATTGTTCCCTTTCTTAAACATCATGGGTGATATGGCCCTAATGAAGGCAATGGGAGTTTTCCTGTTGACTTGATGGCTAGGATGTCATCCCTTGTCTTCAGCAGGATTTTAAATCTCTGTGCAATAAATTTCACATCTTGAAAGTAGGTTTTTTTTTCCCCAGGTATTTCCATACACTATGCTAACATTTGTGTACTATTTTTGTTGTTGTTGCCAGGGTTTTTTGTGGGTGGGTTTGATTTTTGTCTTTTAAATTCAGGACAACATGTGCATATGCAGGGAGCTTTTGTTGGGGGGTGGGTTTGTTTTATCCATTCAGTTTTATGGGTCACTTATTTGTCCATTCCTTAAGCACTTTTATGTATTGTTAAAGGTATAAATTAGATGTAAATGGTCACTGCTAGTTATGCTGGTGATTTAATGTAGTTAAATCACAGTTTATTTATCTATCTAATGCAAAAGCCTTGTCATAATGTTAAACTCTTTTGCACGTTGTACATGCATGTTAAGCCATACTGAAACTAAACTTTGATTGTAGGGAGTACGTGTTTTTGTGTGTGTAGTTTTTAAACTCTGGATTTGTAGATAATCTTTTTGGATGAGTCCTGGGCCTATTGTAGTCAATGGGAGTTGTACCACTAATTTCACCCTTTAACAATCCAGATCCAGCCCCTAAATTCAAACATGTGGAACTGTATACATGTGAGTAGCCCTACAAGGGGATTACTCTTTGTAAGTGTTTGTAGAATTGGGCTCCAGCTTGTACATAAAGTAGCTGCATTACAGCTGTAAAACAACAACCAGCTAAATGATTTAGAATCTTAGTGAACTGCAAAAGGTGGGATGAAGGAGGGAGGGGGTTTGTGCCATTCCTTATGCATTTATAAAAGCATAGCCTGAGAGTCATCTTGCCCACCTCTCAAAAAACAAAAAAATCCTGATTGTTTTCTTACAATAGAAATGCAGGTCTTGTCTGACTTATGGGAGATGGTAGAACTAGTGAAACTGATAGAAGAAGGGAAGGGATTTTCTTTTAGGCTGGTTTTAAACTTAGTTTTTGTTAATGCCTTTATACAGTGTATAGGAGGTGGTAAAGCACAAACCTTCTTCCCTTTCCCTAAGCAAGTCACCTTTAAAGATTCCGAATCAGTAGGTATATACTGTGAAATAGTGTCTTACATCAGAATTATTATAATATCACCTATGAAAGATAAGAATTTGTATCCAACACCAATTAGCATACATGGTGAAGGAGGAATCATGAGATTTGTGGACAATGTTGCTTGAATGCTGGAAGAGTGACTTACGGAATATTCATTTTGAGACCTGTCTGTTTTAGTCTTTTGTGGGAAATCTGTGGGATGGGAGAGTTTTTATTACTGTGTCATCTGAACTTGCTGAGAGCAGGATGGGATGATGTGGAAGTAAAAGTGCATGGAGGTTAAAAACATTGCTCCATTGCTGTCAACTGTGTGGCTGCATCAATGGTCAAGGTTGGGTATGTGGGGAGTTTAGTGACGAGCCAGGCTGAGTGCATTTAGGCTTAGTTCTTGTTCAATGCATTTGGAAATCCTTGGAGGGAATGTAACTAAAGTGTAAAGTATAATTAGTCTTCAAGTAGTAGTCCATAAGGACACAAGAATGACCATACTGGGTCAGACCAATGGTCTATCTTTCCCAGTACCTTATTTGTTGACAGTGGCCCATGCCATATGCTTCAGCGGGAATGAACAGAACAGGGTAATTACAGAGTGAGCCATTTCCCATTATCTGGTCCCAGCTTCTGGCAGTCAGAGGCTTAGGGACATCCGGAGTATGGGGTAGCATCCTTGAATTTATCTATTTCTTTCTGAACCCAGTTTAGTCTTCACAACATCCCCAGCAGCAAGTTCCACAGGCTGAGTGTGCATTGTGTGAAGAAGTACTTCCTTATGTTTGTTTTCAACCTGTCGTCTATTAATTTTATCTGGTGACCCCTGCTTCTTGTTTTACGTAAAGGAGTAAATAATCATTTTCTTCACATCATTCATGATTCTACAGACTTCTATCCCTCGCAACTTAGCCGTTTTTCTTCCAGCCTGAACAGTCCCAGTCTGTCTCCTCATATGGAAGCTGTTCCATATCTCTAATCATTTTTGTTGCCCTTCTCCATACCTTTTCCAATTTTAATACCTCTTTTCTAAGAAGGGGTGACCAGATCTGCACACATTATTCAAGGTATGGGTGTACTATTGATTTTATATAGTGCTATTCTGACAATAAGACAGAAACTATCCCTTTCCTAATGGTTCTTAACATTTGTTAGCTTTTTTGACTGCTGCTGCACATTGAGCAGATGTTTTCAGAGTAACTATCCACAATGACTCCAAGGTTTCTTTCTTGAGTGGTAACAGCTAATTTAGTATTTTGTATATATAGTTGCGATTGTTTTCCAATGTGCATTACTTTGCATTTATTAACATTGAATTTAATCTGTAATTTTGTTGCCCAGTCACTCATTTTGTGAGATCCCTTTGTAACTCTTCGCAGTCTGCTTTGGATTTAACTATCTTGAGTAGTTTTGTATCAACTGCAAACTTTGCCACCTAACTGTTTCTGTGTTTTTCCAGATCATTTATGAATATGTTGAACAGCACTGGTCCCAGTTCTGATCCTGGAAGACCCCACTATTTACCTCTCTCCACTGTGAAAACTGACCATTTCTAGCTTTTTGTTTCCTGTTTTTTAACCAGTTACTGATGCATGAGAGGACCTTCTCTCTTGTCCTATGACTGCTGCACCCCATGTGCCTTCAGCCGGAGATTTCTTGTCAGCAGTGCCCATGTGGTCCACCCGTATTCCCTAGGTATCCTTATGCCTTGTTCCAAGGGTATGTAGGGCAGAGCTGGACCAGCTGCCACTTCAATTCTTTCTCAATTGCCTGTGGCCTGAGGTGTTGTGTTGTGGTGTCTGCAGAGCTAGTTTGTATGTTTGTATAGTGTTGTATAGTTAGTATAATAAGCATATTCTGTGTTTTTAAAACAAAAAACAGAGGGAGGGGGAAGTCTTTACTCCTCACTTCCTCATCCCTTTCCCCAACCCCCGTCCTTGTTTTTGGGCTAGGCTGGCTTAGGGAAACAAATAAGCATCTATTTTCTGTTTGAGGGTGGAAGCAAATCCTTTTAAGTTTAGGGAGGGAATTCCTAACTTTCCCAGCAAATCTCTAAACTGCATGATGTGTGCAGGAAAACCATCCCCTTAAGTAATAGTTGCATAATCTGACTATTGTTTAGGGGAAATCACATATCCCTTCTAAGTAGAGGATTTGTAGGTCCTTTCAGCAGAGCATTTGGAAAATTAGGGAAACAAAGCTGCATACGTTTTTTTCTCATCTAGGAAGGCATGAGAGCAGCTTAGAATCCCAGTCCATAGGCGCCAACTCCGTGGGTGCTCCGGGGCTAAAGAACCCATGGGGGGAAAATGGTGGGTGCTGAGCACTCCTCGGCAGTCTCCCTATCAGCTCCCCCCTCTCCCAACCCTGCCCCGAGCGCCTCCTGCCCACCAGCAGGCCCCGTGGGTCAGCGCCTCTCCCCACCCTTCGCAGTCAGCTGTTTCACGGCATGCAGGAGGCTGTGGGGGAAGGAACAAGGACACGGCATGCTCGGGGGGCAGAGTGGGAAGACGTTGGGTGGGGCCTTGGGGGAAGGGGTGGAGTGGGAGCAGGGCCTGGGGCAGACCCGGGGGCAAGCATCCTCTGGCACTTTGGAAAGTCAGTACCTGTGTCCTAGTCTGTCTAATCTCTTCCCCGTCCCCACCCCCCAAAGGACAGGAGGGCTCAGGGGAATCTTTTTTGCATCTCACAGAGCGGTGCTTAAGCCACCCATTATGGGTAGGACACCTCAGAATGATAAATTTGTGGGTGGAAGAGCTCCTCTTCACTGAGGGTGGCAAGGGAATTGGATTACCTAACAAGGTTGAAATCACCCTGGGAGACCTCACATCCTGCTCACAAAATTGGGGTGTGGCAGGGTGTGAGGGCTCTGGCTGGGGGTGCAGGCTCTGTGATGGAGCCAGAAATGAGGAATTCAGGGTGTGGGAGGGGGCTCCGGGCTGGAGCAGGGGGCTGGGGTGCGGAGGGATGTGTAGCTCCAGCTGGGGGTGTGGGCTCTGGGGTGGGTCTGGGCATGAGGGGGTGGGGGTGCAGGAGGATGCTCAGACCAACGGGTTCAGAGGGCAGGAGGGAGATCAGGACTGGGGTAGGGGTTTGGGACGCGGGAGGGGGTCAGGATCTGGTTGGTGCTTACCTCAAGCAGCTCCTGGAAGAAGCGGCATGTCCCCACGCCGGCTTCTACGTGGAGGCGCAGCCAGGCAGCTTCTATTAGATGCAGTTCCCGGCCCATGGGAGCTATGGAGGTTGTGCTTGGAACAGGTGCAGCATGTGGAGCCCCCTGGCTGCCCCTGTGTGTAGGAACTGGAAGGGGGACATGCTGCTGCTTCCAGGAGCCGCGCGGAGCCACAGCATGCATGGATTGGGGTAAGCCCCTGACCCCCCTCCCCAGCTGGAGTGCAAGATTCTCAGCATAAGCTTTTAGATAATCTTCTGTTGTCGACATGAGATACTTAAAATAAATGTAGCATTATTGAGTCAAGCAAAAACTATATGGAGTATCCCAGCTACAATTCTTCCTACCTGTAAAAAGGATGATAAAAGATATGTACTACCTAAAGTCTCAGGATTTTTATTTTCTCATCCACCTCCAAATTCCCTGGTGGTAGAGGTGACCAATAAATGAACAACACTGGCTAAGGAATACAAGCAATTTGACCTGTCAAAAATTTTACTCATCGGCTACTCTTCAGTTTAGAATAGTTAATTCCAGGCTTTGATCTGGCTATGTAAACTACAACAAATTGTTGGATTTTTTTTTTTAATTACTACATGACAAAAGGGATCAGTTTCAGGGAATATGAGGGCCACTCCATAGCCAGGTCACCATTACAAGATGCTTTAGACATGGCAGATGCAGCCTTAGGTTCAGTTGCTACAGATGATATGCAGATCATCATGGCTTCAGATGTCAAAAATTCCAAAGGTGGGAACAAACACAATAGAAGACCTTCCCTTCAGTGGGTTGACTCTTCAATGACAGGACCAATGACTCTCTGTGACATTGCAATCCCTTGGAATATATACACCGTCAGCCAAAAGAAAACGCAGACTTCAGTCCTCCAAAGGCAAAGGTCCTTCCAAGCCTCACTAGAGATCATCGGAACTCCCAGGGAGATGACCGAGGTTCCAGAAGAAGAGTCCAATGTCTTTGGGTGCAGGTAACACACAATCATCCTCTTGAGCAAAGCAACAATTTTGATGGAAAGGTTGAGAGCTGCATACTACCGAGCCATTTGGATCTAACAATTTCCTGTGCTTTTCTTGCTCCTCCCTGTGGAAATCGTCTTGCAGTCTTCTGAAGTGTATGGGAAGCCATAATATCAGACATGTGCATCTGAGAAATAATTACCACCAGTTATTTGATCCACTTTATGGCTATCTTGTCTTCCCACCCCTCTACCCTGTCCCTCTTCAGAGACCCTTTCAATGAGAGTCTGCTAAAGCAAGAAATAAACTATCTATTGAAACTAGGGGTGATATAACCAGTTCCTCTCCCTTATAGCAAAAAGTGGCTCTATTCAAGGTATTATCTGATACCAAAGAAGAAAGGAGGATGGAGACCCATTCTAGACCCTTCATTCAAAGGGTAAGATTCAGGAAATGTGATGGGGTGTACAAACCCCACACTGAGCAAAAAGGAATTAAGGGATT